GTGTCATAAGAAAAAACCTTTGGCGGATATCTCTTTTTCGATCACAGCGGCGAAGTTTTGCTGATGTGAAACTTTTCCCGCAGAAATAGCAAAAAAAAAAAAATACAAACGGAGAAAATAGCGGAGAAAGAATACATTTGAATGTGGACTACAAATCCCCTGGATTTTTTTCGAGGGACAGGTTTGTACGGATGCGCCAGTTTTTTCATATTTCTGGTTAATTTTCTCTCATCAATTCTAGGTGAACAAATTATTTTTTCTAGAATTTGAATTTCATCGGGTAGTGTTTTCAGATGAAATAGCACAACAATATCTCGTCATGTGGTTTTCAGTGGGTATTTTCGGAATACTTTTTTCTACCTCGGAAATACCCATTGGATATGGAGCAATGTCGAAACTCAACCAGTGCACCTGCAATTCCAGTAACTGGCTCTGATTACCATAAAGCTCGGGAACCACTCGCTATTTTTGTTTCTTTTCGGCAATCTTTTCTCTTCACTTCCGTTTTTTTACGTCTACGACGGTATCTTCATTTACCGCATAACAAATTGCCATTTTTTTCCATAACAACCGTCTGGCTAGGTACATTGTGCAGCTACTAGACCAATTCAAAGTATTCACCTTACTGAAAATGAATTCACGTCATGTATATGTAAATTTATGATAGCGGATTTGTATAAACAACTAGGCTATATATCTATTACATCCCCTCCCTGAAATTGTGTAATTAACTAAAAATATTAGTAAAATCGAAATAATTAATTGAATATAGATCAAGAATGTTTTGTTGATTGGTAGAGTATTAGAAAATTCTCTAGGCGACGGGGACCACCGTAATGTTGCAAAAAAGAATCGATAACAACTTAATTGATTCTCGATGGAAGTTCAAAGCTCGTACAATTGAGTACTAGGTTTTTTATTGGTTTTTTTGTAGACGTAAGATAATTGGAAGATAATTGTTTTTTTTTCTTAGTATTCTGCAGTTCGGAAAGTCTTCCGTTGAATTTTCTATCAACTTGTAAAGTCTCGGGAAATTAATTAAGACAAGAAGACAATGGCCTGTGGGAGTTTTTCATCTGTATTTAATCTCACTTTTGCCCGTCGAAGAATCGTAAACGTTGTCCTCTGTGCGTTCTGGATAGAACCAACTTTTAATTAAGTTCCAACCGCGCGTGTTTTCATCGTTGTTTCACGAGTGCATTCATAGAATTGGATAGGGCCAGCATTCTAGTCATGGATAGTCGTGTGGAAAATAGAGTCGGTGGATTTTTGATTCGTATACCTGCACAAGCTCCACGAAGTTTCAGCGGTTTGTGGATAACGAAAATATCGAACGGAATGCAAATTTCGAGGGATGCACTTGGGGATCTCATTGTTTGCATTGGGGGTAAATGGATTTTGTTTGGGAACTCATCAAAAACTGGGGGAAATGTCGAGTTGTCTCCAAATCAAGAATTATCATTCGTACTAGTTGATACACCAGATGCAGTTGTTTTATCTGAAAATATGTGGAAATGGTGGAACATTCCATTCTCAAATTTATCGGCAGATCGTTGTTTATCATAAAAAAAAATAAATACACTTGAATTTTCGAATTTTTATTCCCTAAATGTCGTAATCGACAGGAGCATCAG